ATACTCTTTACCTTTCTCAAAATTCCCTTTAGGTCTGTAGCATCTGTGTGAGAATATACAGAGTGTGTGTGTTGTATAGGTAAACTGCTGTGCACCATATAATGCCAAATTACTGATTTTTAAAATGGCGTTAATGCAGAAAACTATTCCCTTTGGGGAAATTTTGGGATATATCTCTTTGTATATCCCAAAATTGCAGGGAGATGATTGAACTTGATTGAGTTAGTGATTTTGTTTTGTTTTTTTTTTTTTTTTACTATAACAAAATAGGTTTAAGAAAATACACTGTATTCCCATTTGGGATGGGGTAAATGCTTTTACACTATAGTTATGGTAGCATGATGCAAAAGTTGTGTGTTGTTTGAGCACTATAACTCGATCTGGTTTCACTGCATACCCAAAGCCAAGTCAGTCAGTTTACCCATCCCGTTATCTGCAGGAACACGTAGGTCTGGTTCCAGAACAAAAACGAGTATTTTAGGATCCCAAAAGGCTCGCTTTTCCCCTCCACTGTGCATTTCTTTCTTTTTGAGGGTTGAATCTCTTCTGCTGTAATATCTAGGCCCCTTTGAGGGCAATTATCTCACTTGTTATGCTCCATCGAATATGGAGGGTGTCTAGACACTCAGGTAAGCGCTCTGAAAGTTGGATACCTGCTCTCTCCTTGAAGGAGATGAATCCCTTCTTTGCCTCAGCTATATGCTTTTCCATCTTCCTGTTGCCCTCCTTTTCAGTTTGTTAGAATCTTTTGAGGATGTTGGAAAGGTTGGGATTACAAAGTGGTCAACTACCATAACTTAAACTTTCCATGGACCTTTTGACAAGCTTCTCCTAAGAAGGTGAGACTCAGAAAAGAGCAAAATATGAGTGGTCCATTTTCATCCTGGGGACAAATACAAAGAACTGAGTGCCTCAGGCAATTCTGGACACAAAACAGAACCTCAGTAAAGGAGAGAGCTGATTTTCTTCTATCTGAGCATAGATTTGAAATCCATGATCTTCAGGAATAGCTTGGTGGCTCTCCACAGAAGGAGGCACCCTTGTCCATTGTCTTTGGGTGTTTGAATTCTATTGCAGTAATGCTTTAATAGACCTTCTGCAGCACATCGTGAGGTCTGCATTAGCTCTTTTTCCTGAGAAAAGTCTCTTGCCAAAACAGATATTAATACCTGGTGTCATGGGAAGACCTTGTCAGAACATAAAATCTGCTCTGATTGACCTGCTTGCTGGGCTCTGCGTATCTGATTTTGTGCTTTAGAATACTTTGTGTGTATGTATGTGTAACCAAAAGCTGTTTGGTCTCATTCGATAATTTAAGTAGCAAATTAAAATCTATAACAGGTTTGAAGGCAAAAAGATGAACAAGCAGCCGGTTACAGAGAGCTCCTTCCCGCTGACAGATGGCTGCAGCTTTCAGGCCCAGGTTCTCAGAGAACAAATAGATTGCTGTTTGTCTTGGAGGAGCTCACTAGCAAATGAAAAAAGTAAATAAATGAATCTCTAATGAGAATAGAGATTAATCCCATGGAAAATGCTGGGAAATGTAATAATGCTTTTTTCTTCCTACTTCCTTTTTTTAACTGCTGTGCATTACATCATTCCATCTTACTGGGGGCTGCGTTTTGAGGATGAACAAAATGATTCCTTTGAGTGAGGGAACCAACCACAGTGATAGCGAGTATAATTCAAATTATATCTGATTGTCAGTAAGACTAAAACAAAAAAACACTATATAGTCAATAATCTCTTACTGCTTTTTTTTTTTTTTTTAATAAAGCAAATTCTTAGCTAAAAACTGCCTTGTATTTTAGAGGTTCTTGAATCCTCACTGGATGCATGGTAAGCATTAGGTTAGGTGATGCTGTAATGAGCAGTCTGTGAACTCATGAAAAGAAGATATACGCCTGTGCAAAGTTATGTTGCAGTGATGGAGTTGAAGGCCAGTCGCCCCAGTTTTATGGTAAGAGCCTTCAAGTAGAAAGATTATCTGTATCAAACTTGCCTACCAATTTCCCTTGCTTTCTATGCGCTTTCTTGAAACAAAGCGCCAAGCTTATGTCGGTATTGCATGTCACCTTTAAACAGAAGATTTCTGTGTGCGCTAATTCATGTCCTTACTAGCTTTCTAATGAAATAATATTTGGCTGCAGCAAATTTGCAGACTTTTCCAATGAGCAGAAAATGTATCACTTCTGAGGTCAAGCCCAACGAGTCTTGTCGCTGAGACCTCTAGAAGCCCCTTAGTGGGTGTAATGTCTATTTTCTGAAATGTGTGAGGTTAAAATGATTGGAATAATACTTTTAATTGCTCTGTAATTAAGGTTCATTGGGAGAAGCAGTAGGGACCAGCAGATACTTCTTATAAGGCTTACTCCATCTGACATTAGCATGGACAGACTGTTAACACACTGTGGGAAGCTCTTCCTGGAGGAAGCTGTAGATCTGACAATAATTCAAAGCAAAAGTCAGATAAGAACCAAGAACTAAACTGCGCTCAGAGGGGCTGTGTGTTATCTGCTTGTACTTTGTCTCATTGTTTAAAGCATAAATTTACAGAGTGCTGAGCATCTTGCATTCCCATATTTGGGTTTAAAATGGAAGCAGGATTAGATGTATGTTATTTATATGAACGATACCTTCTTACTCAGCAGATTGACTGTCTGTGTTTATTCAGTGTCACATCTGCTGGCTCTACTTGAACAAAAAGTTTCTGGCTCCTGTTGTCTGTCGCTGTAGATCCAATACAATAGGGCCAGCTGGAGTCAAGTCTGCTGTATGTATCATCCCATCGACTAGTGAGGAAAAAATTGGAAACTGTTGAGTCACTGGAGGCAGAGCACAGCTGGATTTCCATATCTCACATTGAGTTTGTGGTGCCGCCGGGCAGAAGAATCTGGCTTTGGTTTGTGCGCCGAGTAAGTCGGTCCTGGCCTGAGCCTTAGGCCAGGGAAACTCTCAGGAGGCCAGCGCTGATGTGGCCTCGAACCCCAGTGAAGCCCCATACAAGCAGTGTGAGATGCAAACTATTCAAGCAGGCCCTATCCCATCAGTGGATGTTATTGTAAAAGCCTAGGACTCAAAACTTGACTCTTTTTCGGTTGATTCCATAACGGTGGCGATGTCGTGCTACTGGCACAGGAACTGTTATCCTGGCCTGTATATGCACATATGGTTTTCTGGAGGCAGCTCTAAGCCATGTGTAGGCATCAGTTGAGATCCAAGACAAGAGGAGGCACAGATCTCCAACGGAAACAGTATGCCCTTGACCATGGAGGCCAAGGTGGAAAATCGGCAGAAGAGCTTACCTGCTGGAAGAGGGTGTTTGACACGTGCATTTGTACGCTCGTCTGTGGGACCCGTTGTGTCCTCTGTCCCACTGCAGGGCTGAAATGATGGCCGTGAGGGACTCTGGGTGCTGGCATTGGATTCCTGGTGGTGGCCACCTGCTCAGCCTGATGTGTGCTGCTCTGTCCTGCTGGCACCTTAGGCTTTGTTCATTGTTTTCCTTTCCTTGCAGGGCAAAACTAGGCTCTTGATACTGTCATCCTTTGGTGACTCCCATGTTGCGGTGTGCCATCACGCGTGCCGATGTGAATAAGGAGTGTTTCTACGGGGACAGAAGCCTCCTGCCAGAGCAGGCCTGCAAGTGTGCTTCAGGCAAAGAGCAGCTGAGTCGACGCCTGTTGCTCTGGGCCAGGGCAGAGCAGGTTAGATTAGTTCTTTGCGCTAAAACCTATGGGCTAAATCTGAGCTAGTCTAGCCAGACTGAGTCAGGTACTGTTTCTGGGGTCTGCAGGCAGCTGGTATGGCTTGTGTCCATGCAGCTGAGCTCCCTTCCTCCCCAAAAGGTACATGCTGGCAGCTGTCCTGGCCCGTGTTAACTCTCAAACCGTGACCAGCAATCATATGGGAGAGGGATACTTGGTGCAAATCCAAACCATGCCAGAGATCAAGCTGATAGTTGACTGGAATTGATGTCTGCAGGCTCATGCCCAGGCCCTGGCTGGCTTAATAGCAGAGCTGTAGCCATAAAGTCTAGTCGCACAGTTTAACAGGAGCCCATTGCACCCTCCTCGTGGCCTTAGGGAACTGAGGTGTAGTCTGAAACAGTCTTTTTCTTAAACTGTGCTCAGCACGAGGCAAAGACTGAGCCGTCGTTCAGAGCTTGTTGTTGTTGCTGTCTTGGTAGCGTTTCCCAGGTGGATGCTCCTCTGGCCGCTGTGGTGGAGCGCTAAATGTTGAGTTTGTGTGCTTCTGCCTTGCTGAGCTCAGTAGATCCCTGGCAGTGCTTCTGGTTTTAGGTTTGTAAGAACACTCTCTGGGTACAGATGGTCTGTCTAGCACCCTATTGTGAGAACTGAGACCCCATAATCCACCACTAGAAGTGCTGTAGTTTTTATGAGAAAAGGGGTATGAAAGACATGTCGCATACTAGTAAAAACTGTAGTTGCACAATTTTTTCTCTTTTTTTTTAATAGTGCTATAAAAACTCAAGTGACATTTCTCCCTATGAATATCCGTTTAAAAAAAAAAATCAAGCAACAATAAATATTGAAGTGGTAGCACAACCTTGTAGACAGTGTGTTTGAGGACCTCTCTTATCCCTGTTAAAATGGAAATGCAGCGTAATCTTAGCTGTGAACACGTTACCGACTACCACAATAATGCCGCGCTATGCTAGAATCCGGGGAGTGGAGCTGGCTGGCATGCTGAGCTGCTGCATGCTGTAAAGTTATTTCTGGTCTTTTTGGAGGTTCAAGTTGTTAAGAGCATGCTTGGCTTTCTAAAAGGGTGCAAGGCAACCGTGTATTTTCATTAATAAAATATTGTGGCTGTGAATAGTTCACTGAAACTACCTGAGCACCTCTAAGAAGACCTCTTCCACATGGCTTGATGTGCCCCCTACATTTAACATTCCTGTTTGCTTTCTGCACCACTTCTCCCAAAGCATAGGAACTATCAGCAGTTTTGTCTCAAGACTCCTTTTCTTGGAGGAAAGTTCCCCCTCTCTCCCCACTGAACTGAAAGGAAATTCATGAAGACTGCAATTTTAAAAGCAAAATTGGGCCTTTTTGTTTTCTGTTTGTTACCATACTAAACAAGATGGGATCTGGCCAGGGTTGTTATAGTAACTACTAAGATTTCCTCAAGAGAAGGAGAAAAAATAGAACACAGACCCATTCATCTATTACTTCCAGTTTTTCATTCAGAGTTGCATGCTGTTCTGTGTAGATAATTTGCAAGACACACAGCGTAGGTAATCTCAGTGACAAAAAACATACCAATAATGAGCACAAATGGCTCTCCAGAATGCTGTGCTGGCACTGCTAGTTTATTTTTAAGCTTTGGAGGCAAAGTTATTCAGTTGGCTCTGCCTTTTCACCTCTGGATTTTGGCTTGCAATATTTGAAATGTTACACAACTATATTTTATTGATATGCAGGGTAGGTAGTACCTTTTTCCTACCTGAACTAATGTGGTGGTTTTTAAGCAAGTAACCATGAGACTCATAAGGCAAGAAGCTATCAAGAAGAACTAAGAATCGTGTCCTGTTATGAACTTGTATGGCTACTACTCTTCAGACATTGGAAATGCCTCACTTGAAAAAGCCTAAAAATCGTATTTGTTTTTCGGGTCTGCGGTGCTTCATAGTCTTCCTGTGATCAACCAGTACTCTAACTACGTCTTTCTCCTACTCTGAGTTCTTTCCTCGTTCTTTATTAAACAGGATTGTAACGAACAAAAGCCTCCCTGCAATGAGGAGGCCCAGCGCAGGAGAGTAGGTTTGATACTCTTCTGTGTTTCTGCATCTTCCACATGGTATGTGGGCTTCTCCTATCTACTAGGACTATTTATTTGCCTCTTCTGTTGGAGAGGCAAGATGCAAGAAAGGAAGAGGAACCGGAGTGCCTGGCGAAGGAGAGCACTTCCAGCTACAGAGCTCTGAGCGTCTAGCAGAAATCCATGCCTTTCGGCAAATGCCAAGACAAGCGTTAGCACAACTGGATTTCATCCCATTGTGTTATGCTATTTCTCAAGGTCAGCTTTTCTTCCCATACAAGGTGCCAGTCCTCTTTATAGGTACGGTGCACCCCAGTACTGCATCTCAGTACTTACTAATTCATAACTCTTCTTTTTTTGTCTGTTGTTGTCAGTAATGACTAGGAATTTGGCTGAAAATCAGTCTCTGAGGAATGTTTCTAGGAGTGAAACTTGCTTTTAGTTCCTTGTCAGTCATTTTCTGCCACTTCTGAAAGGGGGGAAATTTGTCTTTTAGGACACAGCCCTGCCACAGTTGCTAGCCTGCGTTCATCTGAAGCTAATCTTTCTGCTAGGAGAAGATACTTCTTCGAATGTAACTTTGGCTTAAACAATAAATGCTCATTTCTTAAGGCTGTGGGATATTGGATAGATGTGAAAATTATGGCAAGGGACTAGTCTTATTCACTTTAGTATCCAGATCAAGCTTATTTATGCTTCTAAAGATATAAGTTTCTTCCAAGAAAGGACTTAAACGTTAACTCTATCACTTGCACAACAAAATGGTTATTAAGATAGGTTTAAATCTTAAGACAGATTTAGTGTGTATGTGCACAAGGGAAGGGGGTTAAGACGCATATATTTGTTGGTGACAGTGGATGCTGACAGCTTGTTGGTTCAAGGGGATACTGGACAGGTAGCTGGAAGGGAAATCCACCGAAGATTGCTAAATACAGAGAAACCTCATCTGACTTGGGAAGCGCCTGAGCTGCAAGTGGTTGGAAGCTGGGAGAGTACTTATGGGAATCATCATTTCTGTTTGCCTTGTTCTTGCTTTTCCTTGTGCATCTGCTTAGGGGCACTGTTGGAGGAAGTCTGAACTAGGTGAATGTTTTTTTTCTGAGCCAGTAACAGAAGTTTTCTGTTTTAAATCATTCTGTGATTCTTGGGGCAATGTATTGTGTTTCCACAGCCCGCTTTTGGGCGAAATTGGTGACTTCCTAACCTGTCAACAAGTGGGGAGATTCCTGAACGCATTTCCTTATTACTATAAATTTCACAATATATTGAAGATGAGTAACTGATGAATACAGTGTTCCTACTTCCCCGGTAAAATAGGAATAGAAGAGAGCAAAAGATAGTTCTCGCACCTAGCACTAGGAAATAGTTAACACCAAACCTGGACTGTCTTTCTGTTGATATCCTACATGTTCTTAATGTAAACTAGTCCTGTTCAGGAAGAAGAATGAACACTGTACCAGGCTAGGGTGATGCCAAACGCCGGGAGCGGATCTAAGTCCAACTGACAGAGAAATCCAGCCCGCTTCTGGGAAGTCTAGAGAAGGGCGAGAAGAGCACTGAAGTGCAAGAAGGACAATCAAGGTCCTCTCCTGCAGGTGCTTGGCAGGCGTGGTTCGTGGGACAGGCTCGGTCAAAAAGGGAGCCTGAAATGGTTGGGTTAACCCTGGAAGAGGGCAGAAAACATTTAGAACAACATAATGTTTGTAAAAGCCCTGTTCGCCTATGGGTGTGTAGTGCTCTGAGTCGTAGTAGTTTTTGCTTTGAGAACATGGCCTTCTCATTTAGCCCTCAAAGGGTCAGAGTGTGGCTATGTCACCTAAGTCACGTTTGCGAGATAATCTTGCTTTAGTACAGGCATCTGCATCCCAGGCACATCCGTGCTTTCAGCACTCGAGAGGTGAAACTTTGTCACTCGCTACGTAGGCGTAGCGACGCACTGCGGTGAGCTTCGGTCTGGTAGTGCTGAGCTCCGCTTTAGCACGCGGAAAGAGCAAGCCCAAGCTCTGAGCCCACGGTTCCCCGAGAATACGTGGTTGTTTGCAGCGTTGATTCCTGCCTCTGATGTTGAGCCTTATTTGGCATCTTTGTACAGACGCACTGCTTCTGTTGAGAAGCTGCTAATCAGTGCGAGAGAGTGAAATAGGAGATAGCAGGGCAGAAACTCTGCGACGCTTGGGATATTAGTCTAGCCTGCGTAAAAACGGTCCCGAATCCGGTCGCAACATGCTTGCCCTGGTGAGTGAAGGAATTAACGCTTTTCCAAGCGTCTCGTGATGAACGTTGTAAAGACGCTAGTCGTTCATTAGCCGCCGCTCTCAGGTTGGCGTTACTGGTGGCGCTTCCAAGACAACAACAAAGTCCCCTTTGAAGTTTGCATGAAAGGGAGCAAAGTAGCCTCCCTGCCCGATCCCGCGTACAAGCCTACCTAATGAGCTGGAAGGATCCTTGCCTTATTGACGAGACGATGTGAGACTCGCGCTTGTAATGGTCCTGAGGGGCCCTGACACTATTACGGTAAAACCGCAGGTCTTTAGATGAGTCATAATCGCGCTGCATGATGTTTTAGACAAAATAGTCTGTATTTGTAGAATGTCCTCGGGCAGTAATATTGTAAAAACTGCCACCAGCCCAGCCAGTGCAGAAATGTCAAATGAACTCCACGTTATTCATCTGGATGATAGATAACCTGCAGCAATCTTTTTAAAATGTTAATCTGAGTGGCTGATTTGGCTTTGAATATTTGCGAACCATTACTCAGTTATCTGCTGCTTTCTGCAGGCTTGGATAAGCAGATTTAACCCCACCAAAGCCACCACTTAGAACCTGGCTTGTTCTTCTGTAGGTGAAATTATTTCAGCAATAATAAATAAAACGTAAAGAAACCTTTGACTGCTGCAACTGCAAAAGACTCTCCTTTTATATGAATAACTGTTCTGGGAGTAAATTGATGATTCTGACAGGCTGGTAGCAAGGCTTAATGCCCTCATGATCACTTAAACACATGAAATGTTTTTATTTTCCTGTTTTCTCACAATATGAGGATGATCTTTATTTACATATGCATTTACTTTAATTGCTAGGGTTTTCGCATGCGTGCTTGTTGATCTTCCAGTTCTAAGTTTAGCTGCGCCAATGACTTGACACTGATTCTTTGATATTTTTAAAAAACATAACCGATAACAAAAACAGACAAGAAAACCCTCCGTGGGTGCGGACCAGGCACCATGACAAAAAGCAGGACAGGTCGGCCGTTCCGCATAGCGGTACCTTGAGTTTCCTCTGAAGTATATGAAAATGTCATGGCACTTAAGATAAATTAACCTGACTTGATCTCCATTATATAGCTACAAAACAGGGCTGCTACACTGTCTTGCATGCTCTTAAACGCTAGATTCGGTAGAGCTGTCCTTCCTTACATGGTGGTGCTGGAAATTAGGCTCAGACTTGCTGTACCGCAACTTTTCCGTGAGCGCTGAGTTCCTGGTGGTGGTGGTGGTTTATACCTTACTGTGTAAGTCTGTACATGCAAGCTTATAACTTCTTCTCCCTTCAGCAATCTGAGTATGTTTGCTGGTGCATTTTAACTGCACCTCCCCAGGACTTGCATTGGGAGGGGGTGTGGGAGCAAAGTCAATTCTCCAGTCTTTCTCAGAAGTTTCCCTGTCAGCGTCGTTGGGAGGTGTTCATCTGAGAGTTTGATACATGGAGTGAATCAATTCCTTGGAAATCTGTTCTACGTTAGGCATAAATGTATCCTTTCTGTCTTAAACTGCCTTAAACTATTTCCTGTTTTATATCCTATATGTAAAAGGACCCATCACAAGGTCTGCAAGAAAGAATATTTGATCACATAACTTAAAGACATTGCCTTAGATAAATCAATTCAGTGCAGAACAAATGATGCGGACTGTTTTATTTACAGAGTCGTCTGAAAGAAGCCGTGCAATTGCTGGAGGATTATAAGCATGGAACTTTACCCCCAGGAGTCACCAACAAAGAGGTAAGAGAAAAAAAGCCTTGCTGCCTTTCTAGCCCTTCAGGCAGTCTAAAGGGAATCTGTGTCTACAGTCAAACGCAGTAGTGCTTTATGTTTTTGGGGTTTGTACTGTTAGCAGCTGGTACCGGATGTGTTCAGTTGTACTGCTGACTGTTAGAGTGGAGCTGGCGGTCCTTCACAGCTCACCTGCCAGTATGCTATAGAGAAGCTGGGCTGTTTTGAAATCTCCGTGTTAGAAATGCTGCTGAACGAAAGTGGTAGTGAGGAGCCTGCAATAAAAAGTGTATAAGATTTTTATTTAGAGCAGGTAGAAAACTTGGGTTTTTCTGCTTGCACAATTACTGATTATCTTTGATCAATGCTGTTGCCTCCCTTTCCCTTGCAAAGTGTGCTTATTGCTAAGAATTCAACAATAACAACAACAATTAGCTTCCTTTGCTTCCGTGAAGGAAAGCTTACTGTCAGTTTTGTAGGTTTTAAAATCAGCAACTGTGGCTCATGAGCTCTCTCTGCTATTGTACTTCTGCTGGAGGTCACAAAAATTACCATTCTCTCACTGAAATAAATAGAGGACTGTTTGGGCTACAAGTAAGCTGGTGGATGTCTTCATAGTGTAGAATATATTTTTCAGAAGTGGGACTTTATACTAGGTAATATTGCTACTGTTAGAATACCTAAGCATGGAGTAGATTTCCTGAAGGAGGTTGCAAAAACTCTGCAGATGGGAAGGCCTTAGCACAATTTGCCAAGAAGAAGGTAGTTTTTGGTAGAACTTGGTCCTTTGAGACAGAAGGATGGGCTAGATGATCTCTCTCTCTCTCTCTCTCTCTCTGACTTTTCCTTAGGTGTTCTCTCAGTCTTTTTTCCATGTTGGTTGGTGTATGGACACCAACACAAGGGCTCTTTTGTGGTGTGTGTCTGTACAATATCTAGCATAAGAGACTTCAGTCCGAAGTCATGACATGACATAAAATATGGATAAAATGCATAAATAGACTTTGTTACAAGGCTAGAAACGCAGGACTTTGTTCTTCTGAGTTAGTGCTTTAGTCCTTAGTGCTACCTTAACCTTCAGATTGTCCTGTCTCCCAGCTCTATCATGGCATTTGTGTAGAGTGATGAGGTTCATAAGTGCCCAAGATTAAAAGGGAAAAGTGAAGAACAGCATTTTGTTAGCAGACCTATTTCAGAAGTTATAAGAAGCAGCTATGACAAAGGAGCTATGTAGCTCCAAGGTAAACAATGGTAGAAACAGTAGTGCTTCTTCTCTTAACTCCCTGTAGGTTAAATAACCCTTTTATTTCTTCTTCTGTACATGTGTGATAGTTGCCTTTCATGTGAAGAAGCTATCAGAGGTAAATGAAGAAAACTGAGGTTTGCGTTCACTTTAGGAAGTGACTACTTATTAGGTGGGTGCTATTTTGGGAAAGAGGCATTGTTTCAACAGAAACTAAGTGGGAAATATCTCCTCGCTGCATGGCTTGTGCTCCAAGGGATCGCTGTCTTGGTCATTTGATGTCACTGTGTTCTGTCAACCATAATTTAATGGTAACAAAAAGAAACGAGAACTCAGGAAAAGAGGAAAGCAAAGAATGATGCAGCAGCAGATGACTCAGTTCTCGTCTGCCTTAAGGCAGATGAAATATAAGTCATTCACTGTGGCAAGCCGCGCAGGCTTTTGACCTATATTTTTGGGTTTGCGTGGTGATAAACCGAGGGTATACCCAGAGTTCATTCAGAATTGCATTGAGAGAGAGAAAGAAAAGTCTCACATGTTATTTGTTTCCCTCAGCCATGACAATATAAGCATGAGGCTAACTTTATTATGCAAACTGGGAGGACTCAAGGGTGAAATAAAGGTATAGGATGAAGGAGGAAAAAAAAAATGAGGCCAAAAATGTCTTTTCTAGAAAAAACTGTCAGCACATCGGTATAAAAAATAAAAATCCTGGTCAGTTTATTTATTTTTATTTTTATTTATCTTGATCACAACGTAAATTGTCTTAGGGGGGGGTCTTAAGCAGGCTCTTCTGACAGATGACTTGTTCCTACATTTGACTGTAGGATCAGTAGCTGTCCCAAGGAGCTGGATACCACTTTCTTCAGTGATCAAAATCAAGAAGCAGCCATGAAGCCTGGGGTGGGAACTGCAGCATGTACTTGCTATTGTATTCAGGTATCCTTTGCTGCAGTAATTAAACCAAACGGTGGGAAAAGGTGAGCTAGCCTTGGGTAGATCCCAACAGCAGACTGAGACACACAAATGTTCACCTGTGACACTGCCACCTCTGTAGAAAGGGTGACGATAGAAGGGACTTGGAAGCAGATGATAGGTCAGTGTGCTGAGGCTGCAGTATGACAGACCGTATTTAAGAAGCAGCTGAAACTGGCTTGTTAACCTGGGGAAATGACTTGTGAAGCCAGCAAGCATCAGTCCCTCTTTGCTCCTTGACTTAGCTGGTTGTAAGTAATGATCAAGCACCTTAATGATCAAACGGGAGTGACAGGAACTGCATACTGGGCCATAGGTAAAGGAGGTTGCTGCTATGGATGAAATCCATCAAAAAGGCTGAGGCTTTCTAAGGAGAAAGTGGTCCTTCCCTTTTGTCACCATAGTTTGCCCCAACAGTCTTGTAAAGCGGCTGGAGACTTACTGATTGCAGAGGAGGCTGTTGTTAATGCTGTTATTTTTGGAAGTGAAAGCTGAGTTACAGCAAGGTGAAATGATTTTCCACTTAGGTATGCCAATGCCCCGGTAAAAACTGAGAAGAGGATCCAGGTCTCCTGAGTTCCAGCCCAGTGGCCTACTCTGAGGTTCCCCTCCTTTTTGGAAGGCCAAGGATGGGATCTCCTTCTCCTAGGAAGGAACTGCCAGCTCTGCTTGCAAAGAGACTGCTGTGATCTGGTCTCCTCCAACAGATCACATGCGTTTCAGTTCCAAAAACTTACGAGGAGGATTTTAACACCCAGATCCCCAAATTAGCACTAGTGTAGGCCACATCTTTTCTTAAACTTTCAAAGGTTACCAGAAGACTTGAGATGAGCAGACCAGATGCCTTTGATCCTAAAGAGGATGGAAAATACAATTTTACTTCTAGTTTCTTAAAAGAACTGGGCAAAGTATGTATGAGAGATTGAGGTAGAGAGGAAGATCTAACTATAAATCTGATGAAAACAGGAGTGTGAACATTGTCTCTTCTTGGAGCTGCTGCTGGCCGCAAGTCCTCCGAACTTACTTTGTGAGACTTGTGCTCTGAGCATCAGTTGTTGTCTAACTTGGGAGCAAAAGAGAAGCTCGAGGGGAGCACGTAGGGAGATCTGGATAGCTGGCAAACTTGCTGGTATGGAGTTACATGTGAGCGTGCCAGATATGCACAGCTGTATATGTCTCATTAATTACAGGGGCATTTGCAGAACGTATGATGTGCCGGTTAATTGCTTTGGGGGAAGGGAAGCATCTCCCTTGCATTGATTTCACCCCAGATATTCCAGTGGTGAACCACAGAAGTCTGGAGAACACTCTAGTTTGTTTTCCCCCAAGCTGAGTTGCCATTTTTATGGTTTTTGTGTGCAACACTCTTCAGGCTGGGCTTTGACTACAAGGCAGTAAGTTGAGTTATTTGACATCGTTTAAGGCAAGTTTGTAGTCGTGCTAGTGCTGGTTGGGAAAAGGGGCCCATTGCAGCTCAGACAAGGTACTCACTTTGGGTAGAGAGGCTTGCGTATCTGCCCTGATGGTGGAATAAGTGACTGAGCCATCCAATGTTTTTACGTAGCTGGTAACCAAGTATGTTGCGTGCCCCCCGACGCACTGAGCAAGCTGCCACATGCTGGCAGAAAAACCGCAACCAGGAGATAATTTGATTTCGACTTATTTTAACCTTGTTGCACTGTGGGCAGAGCTAATCGCCTTGTGTTCACTGTGAGCAAATGTATGTAGGTCCTGGTAGTTACTGTGGCTCATCTAACATGGTAGCCTGATCACATCTGAGGTGTGTGTAGCTAGTTCATTACTATAGTTGTACCTATCGAAAAGGCTGGGTGGAGATGATGCTAAAGAGAGGAGCGCTCGGTTGTATCTTTGTTTAGGAGCTCATCCAGAGGGTTTCATTGCTGGTGCCGCTTAATTTCTCCCTTTGTAGTGAGCTTTGTAGACGTATACGGGATATGGCCTGCAGGTAGAAGAGGCTGAAGGCAGATGGTACAAAAAGATCCACAGGGTTGCTGGGCGTCGTAGTCAGAATTGCAATGATAATCACCTTAGAAGCCTTAAGGATGAGGGTCTGGACAGTTTTAATTTATTAGCTTTTTGAACAACCCAATAAACCCCTCAAATGCCAGCTTCCAAATCTGAAAGACAACTTGTTTTGACTGAGATGTTTAATTAATTTTCTGACTGATCTGCTTCTGTGGTGCACCATGTTTGACAGTGTTCAAATTCTTTTTTTCTTCCCCATTCAGAAATTTGTGGCGCTCATCAAGGATTGCCAGGCAGTAGCTGAAAGCATACCAAAAGCTCAGCTTAATCTATATTGCTTGCCGAAATGATTTCACTGCATGAAAAATGAAAAGATAAAAGCCTGAAATGATGTCAAATATCTCTTCAACACTTCTTATCTTCTTGGCAGGCCTTTGCAGAGAGAGCCTTTCTTTTCCCTTCCAAAACAGATTTTTCAAAATGAGCTGAAATGGAACAATTGTGGACTATTCTAAAGAAAATACTCTCTGGACAGCCAGAATTGTGTGTTGCTCCTGTTCTCCGTGACCATCCCTAAGCCAGATTGCAGAAGAAATGCTGTTCATCTCCAGCTTCTCTCAGTGAGAAGACTTGTGGACTTCAGCGCTCCCAACATCTAGATTTTCAGTAACGTTCCTTCCACCATCTTTCTGCCCCTCTGTGCGTTAGCTCCTCGTTCATCTCGGTGTCAGAGAGAGAGGCTGAAGCATGAGCATTTGAAAAGCAGAGTTTCCTCCTCTGAGTCTGCCCCTTGCCGGCTCCTTTG